CAGATGTTTCTTACGCTGAGAGAAACAGCCCACACTGGTAAGATTGTCTTTTATCAGCTTTAGCTATTATGTCTGGAAGAAAATAACCTTGAGTACTGTCCTATAATCAGATTAACTCTATTATGTGTCTAGTCCACAAACTTGTATTAGAACAGAACTCTGCAGTCAAATTGACCTCCCTGGAAATTTAAAGCAATCATATCACACCTGTACTGAGGGCATGATATTAGTTGCCAGTTAATTTCTGATTAATTTATGAAATACATTTCATAAATATTCTGGTCATTTTATTTAAAGTCCTGTATAATTTGATCCCACACTAGTTCAGATGCTTTCTTCTGTATAACAGCTCCTGCCTTTCATAGAGATTAACCAAACTAATTTGCCTAGAGTTATGGTTGCTAGGCATTATTAAGCTATCAGTATTCTGAGATATAATCATATACTTTGGAATAAGTTTTATTTTTTTATTTGTTTGTCCAAAGTCTAAAGCCACATGACTCCATAACAATCCTGGGTGGTGTACAATATTAAAAACAATAAAAATCACAATAACCAAGCAAAAAAGACATCTCAAAGCAATAAAAACATAACTCTTAATTTGCCATGTTTCCAAAAGGGATCTATCGCATTATGTGCCTGGGAGAAGATCAGTCTCCAAGGCTTGTATGGTGAGGTCAGAGTAGGGGTCATTGGTCATGCTACTGTAGATGGCCAGTGCTGTGAGTGAGAAAGCCCATCACCTCCTAAATCCCATCATTTGACACCCTTTAATTGATAGGCCTGAAGCATGTCATTTCTTGTTATCAAGAGAAAGGGAATGGCTGAATGATACTTTTGTAAGTAAACAAGCATAAGACTGAGCTGTGCAAAGATGATTTTTAAAAATATTTATAACCAGCATAGAACATATCTGATATCTGGGAGTGCTTGAATTGCTGGTTTGGCTTTTATTTAAACACATTGCTTTTTCATTTAGCCTTACCCATCCTGCCATTCTCCAAATGTTTAGGGCCAGCAAATTCTACATGGCCAACATAATCTTTAGTCTATCAACATCTGGAAGACCATAGAACGTTCAACCTTGTTGCTTTTAACAGCAAACAATTCAGAAACAAGGCTAACAACTCTACCTCTACAAATGTGGTACCACATTAGCTCAATGGCTTCTTGGAAAATTTGACATCTCATCTGAGCTCCTGCACAAGTAGTTTAGAATTGGTCACTTATAAATAGAATTTTCTAGCTCTCAAGCAAAATTGCTAGTATACAGCTTGCCCTGGGACTTTTAATCTTTTATCTCTTAGGAAGGCATGCACACAAAAAGTTGAACTTTATCATCTGCAAGGATTAATCAGCAGGTATTTATCTTTCACATGCTCCTGAATAAAGGTTGTTTATCTTATCATTTAATCTTTCATATAGTTGTGTTTCTTCTGCTAGGCTGGCACAGCCATGTTGTAGGTCAAGAAGACAAAAATGTCACCTGTTTAATTGGATTATGATTTGCCCTTTTGTACTAAGGCTTCCTTTTGTCAAAGAAACTTTGCAAACTTGCAGTACTTTTTTATATACTTTTGAATAGATCATCTCTTTTCCAAGGTATCAAAATATTTTTTAAAGGAAACAATTATTTAGAAAGTTCATGTATCACAGAAACTTTGTGCCTGGTCACATATGATATATGTTCAGCTAACTTTTAGAGACGTTAGATTAATACAAATGTTGCTATAGAATCCTGGTATAGAAACCCCCAAAAGAATGGGGCTAAGAAAAATATTAAATCACTGTTTAATAAGGTACCTCCATTATAAACTTGTGAAATAAGGTACCTCCATTATAAACTTAATCTTACCTGCAGGTACCAAACTTTCTCCCACATACCACATTCAATGCTCTGCCCTATTTCCAAATGAAACAGACAACTAAACCCCAGATGGGGATGATTGAAGGAAACGGGAAGACACACTTCGAAGGAAAAGAAAGAGAAGAATAAAACTGGATGGAAATCAGTTTGTTAACTGGTTATGAAAATGGGAAAAGGGGAGGGTTATAAGCAGTAGCAGTGATGAATCTCATAAATCTTCCAATATATCCAGTTTGCAAGGCACAATCCCAGAGGGACAGAAAAATAAACATACCAATAAAAACTGGCCAACTTTTTAACCAAGTAAGGCAACCAGTTAAAAGCTTCAAAGGCTGCTGAGGTGAACAAATTCCTGAAGATGTGGGACTAAAATGTCATTTCTATTGTGGACTTAATCTCAGATTAGATTATGAGATTGTATTAGATCCATGAAGACCACCTGGGAGATAACACACACTTGCACCAAGATGGCAATATCTGCTCCTTTGAGGGAGGGGCAGTGCCTCCTACCTTTGAGGTGGAAGTGATAAGCACCCTCCTCAAAAAGCCATTGCCAGATCCAACTTTCTGAAAATTTTCACTCAATCTTCGCTCAGAAGAGAAACTTGCTGGGTAGATGATCAGCACAGTAGTGGGTTGTCCCGGGTTCGCACTGGTTCTATAGAACCGGTAGTAAAACCAGCGGGAGGCTCCGCCCACCGACCCCGATGTCACCAAAATGCTTCTGCGCATGCGCAGAAGAGCATGCGTGTGCACAGCCCCGTTGCGAACCGGTAGTAAAGGTAAGTAGAACCTACCCCGGATCAGCACCACAGCATTGGTTGGTCAGTACTTGACTGTACTAGATTATCTCTTACAGCTTTCAATACAGGGATGGGTTCTACTTACCTTTACTACCAGTTCGCAATGGGGCCGCGGACACACGCACTCCTCTGCGCAAGCACAGAAGCATTTTGGTGACGTCAAGGTCGGTGGGCGGAACTTCCCGCTGGTTTTACTATTGGTTCTATAGAACTGGTGCGAACCAGGGGCAACCCACCACTGTTTCAATACCCTTGACCACAGTGTCCTTTTGGACTGCTTCCTGGAATAAGAAGTATTCCAGTGATTCCTCTCCTTTGTATCAGTTCCAGTCAGTATAAGGGGGAAAGTAGAAATTGAGGTAGAGGTGGGGTACCTCAAAGCTTGATGCTTTCACATTTGAGTGAAAGAATGAGATCATCTGTTGGTTAGTGGCTCACTATTATTAGCTATTGACCTTATCCAGCTATACATTTAGGCCTTAGGCTAACCAGGTGACACATCAAGGTCTCATAACAATTTCTGGAAGCAGTTTGGGTGAGTAGGGGCTCATAACCCTGACAAAATTGAATGGCTGAGAACATTTTGATTGTCTGAGTCTGGAGTGGGTCCATTTTTAGCCCTGAACAGAATTGTACTTCCCCTTTCAATGCTGGTACAGAGTCTGGGGAATTTTTTTGGATCATACCGCTTCCTTGAATAGGAAATGCAACTGTGGCCAGGAAAGCTTATATAAGTTCATTGGTTGTGCCCGTACATGGGCCAGGAGATCCTTAAGACACTCAACTTATGCTTTTGTCACATCATATCTGGACTACCACAATGCACACTACCTGAGTTGCCAGTAGAAAGACCAGTCAGAAACTGTAATTTGTCCAGAATATGGGGGCATGGGCAGTTATACCATAATGTCCATGTAACATCTCTGCTTTATCAGTTGGTAATCAGTAGGCTTCCAGGTACAATTCAAGGTGCTGGCTATGTATATATGTAAGTCTGCTGTTTATCTGTTTGTAACTTTTAATTGGGGGAAATGGTACATGATAGGGCAACCATTTTTGAATCAACATGCTTCAAAAGGGCTATCTTAAAGAATGTATCCAATATCCAGGACCCATGATTCTCATAGAATTGAAATTTGGCAAAGTTGTGGCCATTTTAGTACCACTGTGCCATCATCAGGTTATTGTCATTTCCAATGTTCCCTGTCAGCTTCCACAACGAAAGTCATATGGAAGCTGGCAGGAAGTCTGACATCACTCCTACTCCCGTTGCTTTTTTAATCTGCTTGTAGTCATTCTATTTCTGTTTAGGTAAATAAAGATCTCTGAAATGATGACCCAATGGGTCATAAATTGTCTACATATCTGTAAACCCCTTCATGACACAGCATCTAGTTATTTGAGGAATTATCTATCTCTAGTAGTTTCTCCGAGACCCCTGAATTCTAAGTTGGCATAATCAGGTGCCCAGCAATTTAAGTGTCATGTGATGGAACTCAAGAAATGGACCTGTCATGCACTGCCTCTGAAACAACATTCTCCTTGAGATCCATTTGGCTTTCACCATGGCCTTATTTAAATGAGCTCTCACGGCTTGACTGTTCCCCTAGGTCTTGAGTCAGAGTAGGTTCCAGATCTGTGTGGTATTTTAGTTTATGCTGTTTCTCTAGACCCTTTCTAAATGTTTTATCTTTGTATTTTCTATTGTTCTTTTGGCAAGCTGTCTGGTCATCACAGATTGGACCAGCCTAGAAATCTTACATACTGATGTATACATGGTCCTCCCAATAAAACTGCTTAACTACTAAAAAAAACCTAAACTTCTGCCCCAAGGTTTTCCATTTGCAAGTGCTATACATCCTAGTTAATAATAGCTAGCTTGTAATAGAGGCAGGCTTCTCTTTTTATTTTATGTTAGCTTCTATTCCACCTTTTTCACTCAAAAAGATGGCTTTTGGCAATTTACATTTACAGTAGACTTGAAATTCCCTCATCTACAGCTTTAAGAGGGTGCTATGCTGATATAACTATGCCTTCTTTCCCAATGAAGTCATTATATTTCTATTCAGTCTCTGCAAACTGATCAACTACCTGAGTACTAACACCTTTCTCATCCTTGGGATGAGAATTATCCCATGGAATTATATGTGAAGGACCTGAACATTATGTAATAAAAAAAGCTTCTTATAACAGCCCTATAGGTAAGTTCACCACTGCAGCCAAAACAATTATGGGTAAGAGAACATCATATCTATGGTCACAAATGTTTTGTGATTAATTGAATAGTTAAGATTAATACACAAGTGAGATGTAGAAAAGATTGCCAAAGCTATTTTAAAAGTCCTTTATTAACCTGAATATATAAAAAAAGAGAAGTTTTCTATCATAGAGGAGCTCTTACTTCATGTGGAAACAAAACATTTTTACAAAGTGAAAAAATAAATATCTTTTTGGGAACAAGATTTATATGCTAATGTGCTATAAAAAAGTAGAGTTTTGATATTTGACAAAATGTCTGTGCAAAGAAACAAATGCATACACATATTACTGCTACATTAAGGCAATATGAAAAGTATATTTAGAAAGTCGCAGTAAAGTGACTTTTCTAGCTTTCATTTCAGCTAGTATTGCACATGATCATCTAGCTTTCAGTATTCTGTGGCATTCACTAGTTGACCAAAATCCAAAATGCTTAGGGAAAATAGGGTTTGTGGCAGATGGTTTTAAGAAATTTAACACAACTGCATTTTAAGGAGACACTAAGATTATAGTATTTGAGGAACATTTCTCCAAATATAAGGCATATGAACAGAAACAACAGCTGAGTTTTCTAAGGACAGAAAATCTTTAGAAAATCAAAATTACATTTTAAGTGTTTTATCCACATTTTCTTAGGTACCCACCAGGCTGCTGATTGACTCAAAAATTGATAATAAATTTTGCAAGTAATCTGATTGCAAGATCTGCTGAATAAACCCAGCTATTTGCTTAAAGCTTTGCAATCTTAATTTCTTAAGTGCACAAATTTAAAAATAAGTTTCTTACTTCAGTAAAACAAAAGCAGAAACGTAATTATACTACAATGGATGTACGTATTAAAAACTAGTCTTTCTAAAAGATAAATGGGAATGGTCATGCTAAAGTAATTTTTAAAACAATTTTAATAAAATGCATAAAACTGAGTTACTGCTGGATACTGCAGACTAAATTTTCATCTTTACTCTCAGAATATTGTTAATTTATTAATAATGCTGTTTCAAATAACACAAGTTTGTCTACAAGTCATTCACAGTATATCCTCTAAAATTTATTCTAATAAGAGCTTGTTCATATTCTCCCTTTCCAACTTTTGTCGTGGTCCTTCCAGTAATTGTTGGCAGATGCAGAAGTGATAGTTCTTTTTTATCGGTGGAATTGGAACTTTAGGGCAGTACTTTGGAAGTATGGATTAGTTAAAGTAACACAGAGGTCATATTAGAGTCAAATTAAGCAAGCTTGTGTGGGTAGGCAAATATACATGCTGCACGTGTTCTATTTCAGATCTGCAGACTGGACACACCTAGAAGGAAAATACAAGAATAATGTTACCAACTGAATGTCCAGAGTAAGTTTCATTAATTATCATAAACAGAAAATGCTAATACACAATTGACACTACTGAAGTCTTTTCCATTAATGGATTTTATTTGCGTAGACACACACACACACCACCCTATTACACAGCAAATGCTTTCTTCCAATGACTCCTTTCCAAAATCTAAAAATAGGAGTACAGAAATAATTAAAACTGTCTGGGAACACATCTATGGGACGCCAATGTCTGAACTAAATCTGGATTGCAAACATCCAGACTGCCACTAAATGGCAACATAAAGTTAAGATTTGTTTGTATCCCTTCTGTCATCTAGTGACAGTCTGGATTTTTGCAGTAAAGAAATGGTAACCCCAATGCCACTATCTTCTGCTACTTCTTCTAGCTTTCTCTTCCTTCTCTCCCCCAGTGGGAGAGGAATTCTTCATAGTGCAGCGGTCCCACCCTTACCAGCTTGGAGGCCCAACCTGACACTATGTATGGGGGGAGGGCAGGAGCATGCACATGGGCACACAGCTCTATTTGTGCGAGTGGCATGCACGTGCCCTCCATTCACACAAATGGAGCTTGACATGCAAGCAGAGGGCACTTATGCTTGTGCGCAAAGCTCCTTTCGCATGAGTGCAGGGAGCTCACCTGTGCACTTGCCCATCACTCACCTGGCCCAATTTTGAACAGGCCTCGGCCTAGTAATGGGCCACAGCCTGAGAGTCGGGGACCCGTTGTAGTGATTGACCAGATAAAGCCATTAGGTCAACTGCTGCAATAGTTAAGAAGCAGTAGATATCCCTCTTTCTCTTGCCCACCTGAAGTTGCTATAGCCTTGCAGGTACGCTTTCACTACTTGGCACCTCTGTCAAAATGTTGACATATCTAGAAAAAATATTCTGAGTGTTCATTTAATGATTCATATATTTCTGGAGCCCAATTAAACATTTCTGATTCCAGTGAATTGACTTCCAGAAACATATGGACACTTGGAACATTTGGACTGACCTGTTCTGGTGGAATATGAGGACAGAGATTCTAGAACTGCAACATATGCCAACTTAGAACATTTTACATATTTACCCATATTTAGGTGCAGCTGTCTAGGAAACAATAAAATCCTAAGAAAATATTTCATCTGAATGCAACATTTACAGATTTCAATTAAAAGCTTCACACTTATTTATTTATTGAATTTATATAACCACCTATTCGCCCATGGAGACTCAAGGCAGTTTACAGAATAAAACCACATTTAAAACAATAAAACTAATAAAAAGAATCAAATAAATTAGATATAATATAATAAAATCACCCCCAACCCCAGCAACAGCAGATCACGAGCCATTTAATGGGCTCCATCCCATTCTGGGTTCCCCAGGCCCACTGGCAGAACCAAGTCTTCAGTGCCTTCCAGAAGAGTACTATAGTGGGAGCCATTCTAATCTCTGGGGGAATGATGTTCCAGAGAGAGGGAGCCACCATGGAGAAGGCCCTTCTTCTGGGTCCCACCAGGTGTATCTCCCTCGGAGATGGGACCCGCAGCATTCTCTGCCTCTCCACTCTGATGAGTCGAGTAGATGTGACCAGCAAGAGACGGTCCCCTCAGATAACTTGGTCCCAAGCCATGAAGGGCTTTAAAGGTGACAACCAGCACCTTGAATTGTACCCGGAAGCAAATCGGCAGCCAATGCAGCGCCCGCAGCAGGGGTGATACATGTGCACACCGGGGTCTGCACAAAACCATACGGGCCGCTACATTTTGCACCAACTGGAGTTTCTGAATGCTCTTCAAGGGCAGCTCCATGCAGAGCATGTTGCAATAGTCAAGATGGGAAGTGACTAGGGCATGAGTGACTGTGAGTAAGGATTGTTGGTCCAGGAAAGGGCCTAACTGGTGCACAACCTGCAGTTGCAACAAAGGCCCTCCTGGCCACGACCACCACCTGCTCTTTGAGCAAGAGTTGTGAGTCCAGGAGAACCCCCAGATTACGCAGTGTCTGTTTGGCCACCCCATCCAAGACCAAAGATGGTAATTCTCCCTGAGTCAACGAACCCCAAACCCAGAACCACTTTGTCTTGCTAGGGTTTAGTTTCAATCCGTTGCTCCCCATCCAGCCCCTAACAGCCCCCAGACACTGCGAGAGGGAGGACACAGCATCGCTTAACTCACCACAGGCCTTTTTATATTTGTTGTATGTTAATCAACAGGGCCAGTAGTGCATTGATGAATAAAGCTTATCCCTCTCTTCCTTCCATAGTGTCTTGATGCATGGCTATACTTAGCCATGAACTGATGTTTAAATCCTGCATTCAAAGTTATTGTATGTTTGAGAGTTAAAGAATTTCCAGTATTTTTTAAACTTAAATCAAAATGTAATACTTTACTATGGCAACTGACTTTATACCTACATGTAGCTGTATGGCGCATGTCTCACAGCACACAGTGTGGCCACATGGACAAAATGTTGAATTTATTTCTTCTTCACAGCATGCCATACACAGCAGAGACTCCTTAAACTTCCGTAGTTTTTCCTGAAGAGCTTTCATTTGCTGACAGTTGAGACCCTCACAATTGTTGTTACAGTTCATACTGTTTTCTGACGATTTAAGAGGAGAACTGGGGGGGCTTTGGTCATTACTTGAAACTAGATCCACAATGCCAGCATTGTAAAGAGCTCGTCTTGCATGATCATAAGCTTCCTTAGATGTCCGCTTAATGTCAAATACATACTTTTTCCCAAGATTAATATTTTCTGTCAGGAACAAGGATGCCAAGTGGCCCTTTAGGTCTCGGCTATATTGCATCATGACAGCGCTAGTAACAGTATCACACCTAACAGGAAAAGAAGATATAAAAGATACATGAATCAAACAACCTTTTTTCCTTTATATCCCAAAACTAGTGAAATAAGAATCTGGCGAGGGGGAAAAGCCATGCGTAATATAAATACAATATAAATTTACATATTTCAATATTAGTGATTTAAAATGGATTTATTATCTACTTGTTTACAACATAATGGAACAGTCGTATGACAAACCACTTATATAATAGTATCAAGAACGCTGTAGTTGAACTTGACCTACAACTCTGTGTGTGTGTATATGTATTTATGTGTAGATATGTATATGTATATGTATATATAATATATATATATGTATATACATATATACATATATACATATATATATATATATATATATATATATATATATATATATGCATACACACACACACACACACACACACACAGAGCGAGCGAGCGAGAGAAATACAAACCTGTAAAATGCATGTGTTTCTGTTATTGCTCTGTATAGTCCACTAGCTGCTCTGGTGCTGATCATCTTGAAAAGATGAACGATGCTGTTTCCTGATTCTTTAGTGACAGTTAAATATACATTCTTCCCAGACTGTGTAGCCATCTGAACAACTGAATATGCAATCCTAAACAATGGGAAAAAAATACAAAGAATGACACCATAATATTAAGCCCTAAAATGCTGTTATCAAAACAAAAATAGACCAAGTAGACTGGCAATGTAAAATTAACGATGAAATGTAAAGATGAATTGTTCATTTTTGGAAAGAAATGAAACTAGCTTTAATAGCAATGAAAATCTTTCCCAAAATGTTGCCACTTCAAGAAATAAAATTTAACCATTCTATAATACTTCGGTAACAGATCTGAAATATAAAAAGAATTCCTGAATTTTCTGCAGTAAAGAATATCTATAGTTATTTGGAGTTAGAATCTTTCCCATCCCCAAAAGTACATCTAAATGAAACAATCCATTTCAACAATGCACAGTAAGAAATGTTCAATACCGTTATGCTAGAGACTCAGATAAAACAGCTGCATGCTTCAGAATCCTTTGGCTATTTTACAAGCTTTTGATAAAGTTTTTCAGGCAGGACTTTCTGGTAATCACCTGTTGATGGGAGTGAAGTCATCTGTACATCTGGAAATGCCTTCAGGGCCAACTCCAATAAAAAGTTTTTGCCCCTCGCTGTCTCTAACCGAATGCCATTCTACTCCATAGTTCTCTAGTGTTGACACAATCTGTAAAACTTGATATTCAGCTGAAACTTGGCTGAGACCGTCAAGATCCTTATGTTTTGCAATAATACTGTGGATAAAAATATGAAATAGGTTAATCACAATTTTGATTTTATCTTATATATTGATTTGCTAGATTTTATTGTGAGAACTCTTAAAACAGATTTTACACAATCCATAAGTCTTAATTTTAATACAATCAATTTGAAGGTATAATTAACATTGAGGATGGAAAGTTATAATTTTACTGAATGTAATATTATCAGTTATATTGAGAATATTAAATTTACTAAATCAAAAGTATAACTTTTTATTTAAACCCTTATTAGGTCCAACAGAAAAATTAATCACTTTGATTATTCTAATCAGCTCCAAGGGACAGAGGACAGAAAGTAAGTTCTCTCACAGAAAGCAACTTTCATAAATTAAAACCCTTGCATCTACTGAACTCAGATGCACATTAAAGCAAAAATAAAAAATGAAACTTACAAGTAATTATTCTTATATACTCCTGCTGTATTGAAAGTTTAACAAAAGTTACCTGTCCAAAGTAGAAGAGGTCAGTTCTTTCATACAGAACTCTTCGTAGTGGTATTTGGCAGTATTCTGATTATATTCACCAAACTTCAACTGGGCAAGCAAAGCACTTAATTCGACAGCACGTTCAGAAGGACACTGTAGATTACCAGCCAGAAGGTCCTCCTCTATGTGCAGGAAAAACATATGCCTAAAACAGGAAATTTATTTTTGTAATGCAGAAATGAAACTTTGCAACATTTAAGACCTGCTCAAATACTACAAGAAATATTTCTGCTAATAACTGAAATATATTGTGAATAAAAATGGAACTACAAGAAATCCCAGAGTAAATTGATGGGAAACATTCTTTTAAAAAGTGCCAGTAAAATAACTGCATTTAAAATAAATTGGAAGACTAAAACCCAGTAATATATTTAAATTTAGTTCCAGCCCAATAGGATTAGGAAAACATGAAATAAAAGAATGTAAAGCAGTTAGAAGAAAAAAAAAGAGCTATTCCATCATTACAAAAAAAGTAGCTAATATTCAAGATTCCTATTAGAAATCTGAGATTTTAATTTCTTAAAAGATATTTGGTAAACATCAAACATAGCTTCCTAAAACTATTAGCCAAGAAACTCTTATATGGTATGCCATATTCTATACAAAAACTCAGGGAATATCTTAGAAAAGAATGTGACAGGATACAAACATATTCAACTAAATTCAGAAAAATTCCAATATCCCATAATGTGAACATCTTAGGCTGAGAAAATCATATTTTAGGAATATAACTCCAAATATACATCTAGTGACGTCTCAGAACAACTGATTTGCTCCTATTAAAACTGAGGGTTTTTGAGACCTGAATCTGGACTCATCACTTTTACCTTTTTGAATATGCCCAGTATTTAATGTGAAACTCCTGCTGTGTGCCTCCTGCTGATTGCCAATGTAATATAAAGAATATTTGTTCTTTATATTCCTTATAGCAACATCTTTTTAGAATAAACATTTAATTTTCTACCACTCTGAATATTTGGAAGTAGCTTCATTTTATGTCAGTTCAAATAAAGAATTGAATCAGATACAAAAACAGATAAGGCTGGTTTATAGTATGGTGCCACAGCATACCAGAGCAAAGGCAAAGGTTTTACAAACTACACTGCTGATTAATCAGGGGAAAGGTTAACTCCGGATGTTCAACTCTGCTGCAAGCAGTTAAGGATATACAGCACTTATCTCAGAAAAAAAGCAATAGATTCTACAGCACTTACATAAACAAACACTTTATCTAGTGCAGTGGTTTGATGTTTGGACTACAAATTACAAATATTTCATTAGTGCAAATGTCTGATGAAACTATGATTTTAACTGCAGACATCCATTTGAACTAAGTAGCACATCTAATATAGCTCACTTCAAGACTGAGAAATTAAGTTCTTCACTAAATGGGAAATCAATTTGAGGTGACTTTTCTCAGAAATTTTTATCCGTTCTTTAATTTTTAGACATTAAACACCCCAAAAAAAGTTATAGCAAACTGCCATAAGTTCTTCAAGACAGTTGAACTACAAAAGCAGAACTTTTGCCAGAGGCAACCGCGGCAGACCAATCAGGGACTGAATTTCTTAAGCATCTCCTCTTTCTTCCAGGGAAGCAGCCGCTGATTTGACAACAGCCTAGCAGCTATTAACAAGGGTTACTTTCAGTCAATGACCTATAGTTACATTGTTGTTGCTTTTCTCAGCACCAGACTTTCTTCCTTTAAGCCAGAGACTTTACAATTGCAAAATGAGTCACGCCCAAAAGTGTTTGGGAGTCAGCTTTCACACTACAATGCCTTTTGAAACATGTATTTTTTAAACTTAATTTATTTGAGGGTTGTTGTTTTTTTTTTTTTTTACCAAAAATGGATACCCACATAAGAGAGGGAAAAGAAATAGCATATTTATATTTAGCATATTTTCTGTGTTAACAGTCTATTTCATTTGGTGCTGTCTCAAATCTATTTTCTTCAATCATTAGATAGGCTAAGGAAAAAATGCTAACAATTAGGGGAAAATATACAAATAGCATTCATAACCTGTTGAAGTAGGCAAAAAAACCCAGCTGATTTATTGACGTGACATAAATTTGGATCGTGGTGTAGATCACAGCATAGAAATCAGTAGATTTTAATTTCAACAGAATCTCAGGTTGGTATAAATCATGCTTTGCAGCTACTCCACAAAAATATATAGTACTGTGAAAGTCTTAGACCACCATTAGATTTGTTGCTGGAGCAATGGTATAATCACAATATGTATAATTATGTCTCAGTCTCATCAGAATACAACCAGAAAATATAGGAAATTTGTATGCTGTATTCAAAAAACAGGAAAAGGCAGAAAAAACAGCTTCTATAGGCTAAAGTAGCAATTATATACACTTGAGCAACAGTACACACATGACTTCTGAAAACCCAAATGGAATGGAACACTAAGTACTGTCATTACTACCACCTGTACATGTCCCTCTATTCCATGCCAAAATGACTGTTGTGCAAAAAGCTCTATTATACCAGGTTTGTGCAAGACATGCTTGGGCATTACACACAGTACAGACACATGTTGTATGTCTGTTGGAAGCTTGTTAATAAGACCAACTTTCAATCACATCATTCCAGCCAAAATGCCAAATATCTCAGAATTTGACAGTTGTAAAATCATAATTTTGCGTCAGGAAAGCCACTCTCAAAGGAAACCAAGACCAGGAAATAATTATAGATGGCTATTAAACCTTTGCTAAAACAAAGTGGGATTTTTGCACAGTGCTGTAATTATATTTTAAACAATAATTTGGGTTGCACTGTATAAGTGATGCACTATTACAATGTTATAAGCAAAATATTCAGCAATTATTCTACCATATAAGGGTAGAACAACAGAAGGTCTGGGCTCTTCAGGGATATGGTAATGTAGCCAATCTGTCAGCAAAGTTATAATTTTGATTCTGCATAGAGAAGGGTCATTCTGCCTCAATGAACCCTCAAACTTGTAAGTAAAGGATTTATGTAAAGAATATTCTTCCATCATACATGCAGAAAACTTTCCAAAATTTTTGTAAAACTTTTACAAAAACTAGGAAAATAAAGAACATACTCTGGACGTTTAAGTTCAGACATGTTACAGTTCACAAACCACAAATAAAGTAATAGTCTTCCAAATTGTTAAAAGTCAATGACAATTTTTTGTGAGTACTTGTAAATCCAGTTTATAGTTAGATGTTTTTAAGAAAAAACATCTGTTTTCTCTTTGTAGCTTGAAACAGTCATTTGAGTATTACTGTAATATGACACAGATTAAAGGAGGAGTCCTGTAAACTGAAACACAGAGGAAGTTTCCTGTCTTGAACATTTTAAAATGACCTGCAATAACACTGCGAAGAGGTTACTGTCGGGCACTGGAGCCAATACTTTGAATTTCTTATTCTTCTAGAACTCCATAACTAAATGAACCATTGCCAAATCCATACAGGAACACTAATAATTACATAACACCAATATTTTCAATAAGGTTTTTCAATATTTTCAACTAGAGCATTGCCTTTAATGGTGGCCTCTTTCCAGTACAGTGTACACAATAAAAAGCATACCATAAAGCTAAGATCAACTGAAAAACTAAGACACCTTAAGTATTGCTGAAAGTTCAAAGTCATAGTTACTCTATGTAGCCGCATTCTACAAAATAATAAACAGAAACAATTTTCAGTGAAGGTTTATTTTTTACCTTGTCTGCTCCTGCAAGATCAGATGTGGCTCCACAAAGAACTTGACCCGTAGTTTCAATCTGTAAGGAGGCAAGCCATCCATCTGTTGGGATATTCTATTTCTCAAATTCAGCCACAAGTTCTCTCCCTTGCTTCCTGTAAACTGGAGTCCGAAGTAATCAACTTCTATAATCCCCAGTCGCCTGCAAACCTATGATTACAAGTTAAACATCATAAACACTACTGTAATGAGCACTAGCAAAAGATGCTATAAGGTACCCATTTACTTAACAAGGTTACCTAAACAGTTTCCCAATTACCAGCCAAGACAATATTTTCGGAAGAAGAAGTCAGCTAAGAGGGCTCTTATGGAAGCTTAGTGACCTTCCTATCTAAAGCTTTCAAGGGAGCAACAAAATTGCAAACATAAAACCCAAAAATATAACAGTCTCCCTAGAGGATAACTTAAAATATGAACCTTTAACCTCGTGGATAGCAATTGCAGCTGCTGGAGCTTCAAACCAGGAGTTTCAACTATACATGGACACGAATGGGTCAAAATTAGGAGCACTTTAATGCTTTTCCCCCCCCAAAAGGCAACTGGGCTTTACTTTTGAAAAGGTTTCGCTTCTCCTCCAAGAAGCTTCTTCGGTTCTAACTTTCGTTTTCCAAGGGAAAAACCCGAGAAAGTCCAGTTTGCCTTTTGGAAAAGGCACCTCTGGGACAACCATGACCCGGGATGATTGAGAATCTCCACAGGCATCTCTAATGTTTGCTTAACAGGCGCTCCTGCTTCCTTTCCCTGTCTCCCTCCGCATCCCCACAACAGGTCCACGAAGCCCGGCGGGATGTTCTCGAGCAGCGCCCAATTCAGGGGGCGCCACCGCCTCTGCAAATGCCACGTGGCCAGTGCGGTTAAAACGGGGCTAAGAGGGGATTTTCCCGGTCTGTGTGTGTGTGTATGTGGGGGGATGGGGATAACGAGCAAACCAGCAAGCCGGCATATCAACTGAGTGGCTCCCAAGCAACGCGTGGGAGATGAGGAGGCTCAGCCCGGTGTCACCGCCGGGGAGAAGCGGGGGGGAGACAGGCACGTCTCCTTCCTTCTGGCTTCACCCGCAGCGGCTGCATCGAGCGGCGAGGCGGCGGTTGAGGGTCCCGCCTCGCGCCGCGCCAGCGCGTGAGCCACAGGGCGCGCGGGAGGGGGAGCGCGTGGCATCGGGAAAGAGCGGGGTGGGGGTGGGGGAGGAGGGAAAGGCCACGCGCCGGAGGAGCCCCTCCGCGAGCCCCGAACGGCCGCTCAGGTGTAAAGGGGAGGGGGTGGCGAAGGAAAGCGCGGCTTTTCACCTGGTTCAGGCAGTCTTCGCCATTGGCTTTGGCCTCCACCTCTACTTCCATCACCACCGCATCCGGCCTGGTCACATAGCACAGCATGGCTGCCTCTCGTCGCCAAGACGCACCCCAAAGAGTCCCTGTTTGCCGTCTCGGTCCCCGCTAACGTGCTCCCCGCAACCTTTAAAAAAGTCTTTTCGGTGCTCTGAGGTTCGCCGGTGAAAGCGCTCCTTTATCGTCTCGGTCTCCCTCCTCCCTCCTCAGTCCCCGCCCCCAAGCGAAGCCTAGCCAATGAATGCGCTGAAAAGCGGCGCTGCCGCGAGAGACCCTGAGCCTAGAAGGCGGTTTGTTTTCGCTAAAGAGATACAGTCTCGGCTATTGCGGCAGGTACTTCTGGTTCCCGATGGTGCTCTATGTGCGGGGCCAGAATAGGGGTGGGGGGGGGGGATAGGAGCAAATGTCACATGGAAATATCTAAAGCAGGGGAAATTAAAAGTTATGCGGAAGAGTTCGTGGGCGGTCATATGCAGTGCACTTTTCCCCCCCCAAGCAATGAGGAAAAATAGAACGGTGGTCACAGAAGAAGAAATCTCAAATATATAGTCACCAGAAAATAAAGAGAAATAGGCTGGCATACAACTGGACAAAAAGCAGAAAGCATATGTTGAAATCACCCATCTGCAAAAGTAAGACATGAGGCTCAAATGGCTGAGATTCACTCTGTCAAAAAGCTCTACTGCAATGTTTAAGATTTAGAAGCTTTTCCATCTTAAAATCTTTTAAAATATTTTTAATCCATAAATTCTGATCAAGATTACTAACAAGCAATCTTTTTCATGGTGGTTTTTGGTCAGACTGAACTAATTTTCCATTTTCAAGGTTTTCTTTCTTACTAATATTGCTTTGCACAGCATGTTGATGGGCCAAGTTTTCATTTCCACAATATTCAGAAATCAGCAAGAGACACTTCTTTGTGGTAACTCAGGGTAATTTGTATGCTTCAGCAGGAAGAATCTAAAAAGGAAGACTGCAGCATTAATAGCACTTAACACTTAGGCTTATATACCGCTTTATAGACCTCTCAAAGCGGTTTACAGAGTCAGCCTCTTGCCCCCAACAATTTGGTTCCTCATTTTACCCACTTAGGAAGGATAGAAGGTTGAGTCAACCTGATGAATCAGGTTGATTTAGTTTTAGGGACTTTTCCCACTACTGTATTGAGGAGCTGTCCATGTACTCTTAAATTGGCAAAAAAAAAATATCAGCTCGAAATTTGCCAATCCTTACCCGGCCTCTATTGCCTCTGTTCCCAGGTGGTGCTAATCTTAACGTAATGGTTTGCAATAGGCTGCTTCTTCTGATGTGTGCTTGTTTGTTTGATTCCCCAATTTAGCTAATTGCACAGGAATTTCCAGCAGTTTCTCCATACAAGTACTGGCAAGACTCAACACAACTAGTTTTTAAGATCAGCCAAGTTCAATTAAATGCTGCCAACCTCTAAGGCTACTGCTACTCAAGAATTGGAGTTCCACTGGCAAAAAATAAATAAATGGCAAAGCAATCCCATTTTCACCATCCAAGAGCCACTAGTTTTTCTTTGTTTTTTTGTGCCTGGGAGTCATGTTAACTCCTAGCAATTGCCTGTACTAGTCCCTGCAGTTTTCTTGGCAAGATTTTAGAAGTAATTTGCCATTGTCTGCTTCCTAATGCTGAGAGAGACAGACTGGCCCAAAGTTACCCAGCTGAATTTGTGCTTAAAGCAGAACTAGAACTCACAGTCTCCTGATTTCTAGTGCAGTGCCTTACCTATTACACCAAATTGGCTCTGCACTAGTTCTTTAAAAACTTAAGTAAACAGTACAACAAGTATCTCTTAGTTTCAATGGGTAATAGTTCTTATACATACTTAAATATTTATAATTTTGACACAATCTTAAAAAAGGTAATGATTCTACACTGACTTAATAAGTGCAGAAACAGGCCTCTTTTCTCACTTTATAAACTTACTTACTTTATTTGATTTATATACCGCCCTACTCCCGAAGGACTCAGGGCGGTGAACAGCCAAACAGTAAAAATACATAGATACAAAATTTAAAAACAAAGTAAAATCGAATTAAACAATTTGGCCCAGACAGATTAAAACACCCCAATCATTTAAAACCGATTAAAATTTGCATAATTAAAAAGAGGAAAAAGATTAGGCCAGGCCCGCCTGATGGAATAAAAAGGTCTTAAGAGCGCGGCGGCGGGTGCGCAGATCTGGGATCCTCTGTATCTCCGGGGGGGGGAGCTCGTTCCAGATAGTGGGTGCCCCCACAGAGAAGGCTCTCCCCCTAGGGGCCACCAGTCGACATTGTTTGGCCGACGGCACCCGGAGGAGCCCCTCTCTATGAGAGCGTACCGGCTGGTGGGAGGCTATTGGTGGTAGTAGGCGGTCCCGTAAATAACCAGGTCCTAAGCCATGGAGCGCTCTAAAGGTGGTAACCAAAACCTTGAAGCGCATCCGGAAGACCACCGGGAGCCAGTGCAGCTTGCGCAGGAGAGGTGTTACATGGGAACGCCATGTCGCTCCCATTACCACCTGTGCGGCCGCACTCTGCGCCAGTTGGAGCCTCCGGGTGCTCCTCAAGGGGAGCCCCATGTAGAGAGCATTACAATAGTCCAGGCGGGAGGTGACGAGGGCATGAGTGACCGTGCTTAGGGAGTCCCGATCCAGAAAGGGACGCAACTGGCAAATCAGGCGAACTTGATGAAAAATCCTCCCGGTCACGGCTGTCAAATGCTCTTCTAAAGACAACCATGAATCCAGGAGGACGCCCAAGTTGTGAACCCTCTCCGTGGGGGCCAATGATTCGCCCCCAATAGTCAGTGATGGCGCCAACTGACTATATCAGGATGTCGGAAACCACAGCCACTCGGTCTTGGATGGGTTGAGCCTGAACCTATTCCTCCCCATCCAGATCCGCACGGCCTCCAGGCACCAGGACATCACTTCAAGGGCATCGTTGGGGTGGTCCAGGGTGGAGATGTACAGCTGGGTGTCATCAGCGTACTGGTGGTACTTCACCCCGAAACCATGGATGATCTCGCCCAGCGGCTTCACATAAATGTTGAACAGGAGAGGCGAGAGGACCGAACCTTGTGGCACCCCACATATGAGGGGCCTCGGGGTCAACCTCTGCCCCCCTGTCAACACAGACTGCGACCGGTCAGAGAGAAAGGAGGAGAACCACCACAACACAGTGCCTCCCACCCTAACTCTTCCAACCAGTGCAGCATGATACCATGGTCGATGGTATCAAAAGCCGCTGAGAGATCTAACAGGACCAGGACAGAGGAGCACCCCCTGTCCCGAGCCCTCCAGAGATCATCTACCAACGCGACCAATGCCGTTTCCGTGCTGTACCTGGGCCTGAAGCCCGACTGGAATGGATCCAGATACGTCTTTTCATCCAGGTGCTGGGGGAACTGTTGCGCAACCACGCTCTCAACAACCTTCGCCACAAAGCGAAGGTTGGAGACCGGACGATAATTAACCAACATTGCCGGGTCCAGGGAAGGCTTCTTGAGAAGAGGCCTCACCACTGCCTCTTTCAGGGCAGCGGGAAAGTCACCCTCACCCAACGAAGCATTTATAATCTCCTGGAGCCAGCCCTGTGTCACCTCCCGGGAAGCCAGCACTAACCAGGAGGGACATGGGTCCAATAAACAAGTGGTCACGTTCAGTCTACCCAGAATCCTGTCCACATCCTCAGGGGTCACAGGATCAAACTCATCCCAGATAACATTCTCAAGACCTGCCCCAGTCCCTCCCCCTGAGACTACCCAGTCGGAGTCCAAATCTTCCCGAATCTGAGTGATTTTGTCATACAGATACTGAACAAAATCCTCAGCTCTACCCTCCAAGGGGTCCTCCTGCACTTCTGGTGGAGCAGGGAGCGGGTCACCCTAAACAGGGCGGCCGGGTGGTTATCTGATGATGCAATAAGAGCAGCAAAATAACTATATTTCGCTGCTTTTATCGCCACTAGGTAATTCCTAATATGAGATCTTACCAGTGTCCGGTCCGATTCAGAAAGACTGGCCCTCCAACTACTCTCTAGGTGTCTTTTCTGGCACTTCAACTCCCTCAGCTCCTCAGTGAACCAAGGAGCCAAATGAGATCGGCGCCGGGTGAGAGGCCGCAAAGGCACGACCCGATCCAGAGCTCCAGCGGCCGCCCTATCCCAGGTGGCCACTAGGTCTCCAGTCGAGGTGTGTGCCAGAGCCTCAGGAAATGGCCCAACCTCCATCTGGAACCTGTCAGGTTCCATCAGGCGCCTGGGGCGGAACCATCTTATGGGCTCCACCTCCCTCAGCGGGTGCAGCGGTTCGAAGGTCGAGACGAAGGAGAGAGTGATCTGACCATGACAAGGGCTCGGTAACTATATCCCCTATCTCAAGGTCACTCAACCACTGTCCAGAGACAAAAACCAGATCCAGCGTGTTTTCCCCCATGTGAGTAGGGCCATGAATTAACTGGGTCAGGTCCATAGCTGTCATGGAAGCCATGAACTCCCGAGCCACCTCAGATGCCTCACCCACGGACGGCAGGTTGAAATCCCCCATGACCATAAGCCTAGGGGTATCAACCGCCACCGTGGTTGATACCCCTACATAAAACTACAGGAAAGTAGTTTTTATAATATATAATATAAATATACTTTTGGAAGGTAAATGGGTTTGTTTTGAAGACACAGTCCTTTAGTCAAATATTGACACGTATGTACTGGTATATGTTAATTAATTGCTAATATTTAAGTTTACTGCTATCTTTTAATTACATTTTTAACATGACTTTAGGTTTTAATACATGTGCATTTTATTCTAGAAATGTTCTAGTAAAGTCAAAGAATATTACATATGTTAAATTTGTTGTTATTTACCATACTTGACTATAATAAATATTATATTTCTTTTTTTCTGATTTTTTCCAACTAGTAGTATACAAATGAAAAGAAGTTTCTTTATTCAATAATATGTAGTTTTAAATTCTATTCATATTACTTGAAAATGAATCAATGGATTTATTCCAGGGACGACTTTATAGGACAGTAAATAAAAGATGACTCTGCATTCTATTTTCATCTGCGAGATAAAAATATAACAATCACAGGGTAAGAAACACATAACAAATGTAACTGAGTATATAATCCACACATATATTTATGATATTCTACAAATAAACCTGCACAATGTTGCATTCTGTTTAACTATATAAATCTACTTGTGAATTCCCAATGTGTCTTGCAAGGCACCAAATCAGTTACGAAATAAATTAAATGCCTAGTTATTGTACCCACAGCGAAATCAAATGTACAATTGATATTCATCACTTGCTTTGCCAATGCAATGTGACTGAGGACATATTAAGCAAACACTCAAAATGATTTGGACAACTGTTCCTGTATAATGTTGATAGAAACTAGGTACAGCTGAATGAAAGCTGAAACTAAAACTATAGCAATTTATACAATGCAATGAATAGAAAACAAAAAAAAAGTGAGATGTTATCATTAGAAAGGAATTCCATCCAAAACAGTTCACTTCCTCTGTTCTTACATACTCCTAAGAATCTCACACAGCATTGCAAATTTGAATCATAGAACCATAGAGCTGGAAAGATTTAGGAGGTTTCTAATCCAGCCCCCGGCCCAAGGCAGGGGTCCTCATACCATCCTGGACATATGAAAGAGGTCTCCAGAGCACTCTGGTGCCAGGATCATCAAAGAACCTCCCTTAAGAAGTTAGTCTGACCTCTTCTGTGACTGTCATCTGAAAGCTTTTAAAGATCAAACATTTCCAAATGATTTGGGAACAGGGTGGGGGGGTGGAGGGGAACCACTGTTGCTATTACTATTTGGATGCCATTAGATTTCCAGCTTACAAATAAAATATAAAGTTAAGGATATGGTGTATGATTGAAATTTTCAAGTATCTTTACAGGGAGTAAAAAAGTACAAAAACTGTTAGGGGCCATCATATGTTAAATTAATAAAGTTTCTTCAAATCAAGCTTGAGTAAGATATTTCCAGCAGTGGATATAGAAGTGATTTGCCTTTTTCTTCTTTTGGGATTTTTAAAAATGTCTTAATCAAGTCCACAGCATGTTAAGTAATAAATAAAGCATGTTAAATAAAAGAAGGTGGGATGGGAGAGAGAAAACTGATCTGAAATTGAAGTCTTAAAAGACGTACATCACTAAATCCAAGATGGCATATTGGAGAAGACACAGAATTAAATGGATTGCAATTTCCACTAAATGTTATGTAGGTTTCCACATTAATTTCCACATTACATTTAAGATTGCTGAAACAGAAAAACACACACAAAATTGCTGATTGACCTATTTTTAAAATGTAAATTCAGGTGTTATTCAAATTCACAAAGCCAGAAAGCTCCTGCAAATGATTGCCAAGTTTATGAAGCTTATGAAGCAATGTGAATAATATGGATATATGTTGCAGGGTACATAATTTTTCATTTCCAATCTCTGCTTCTAAAATATTCATTGGTTAAGCATCTTCTACTGTACTTG